AACTTAATGCAAAGACGGAAATAAATGTTCGTTGAGCATTATCGAAATGAAAAATAGTTTGTATACTTTCAAAATGTTGTGACTTCTTCTCAAGTTTTTGCTTAGTTTTTTTTTTTCTGGACTTTTGATGCTGTTGAGTTTTTCCTATGTTTGTTTTTGAAATCAAATTTCATAAGATTTAGTCAAAACATCGGATCACTTTTTGCAAATCACCCAAATCGTCTTGAAAATGACCACGAGTTGCCATATTTTATATATCGTTGGAAAGCTATTCTCCTAATCTATTGAATGAAATTATACTAAAATGTATGAAATAGCATCGAAAAATGTAAACAGAAGCGGCAAAATGTTGTTAATGCTCACAAGTGCCAATTATTTTGAAATAAAACGTGATGAACTAAATAAAATAGAAAATAATAAATAAGTCACGAAAAAAAAATAAAAATTACAACAGAATCCAAATAGGACGAAAAATACAGAAAATTCATTGAATATTTGAGGAATAAGCCTCAAAATTAACCAATATCACAATTACCTGATCAATAATACATTAAAAATAAATGAAATGCGTAATAAAATAATGAAACTTTGATATACAGCAGTAAATTGCCACATGGCCCCCACAATTTTGATCCGAATATCCTCATGGTACCATTTTCGAAATTTTGACCCCAAAAAATATCACGCACCAAATATTTATCCAAACTGTTATTATTCATAGATAATACTCGACATTAGCTTCCAGAATGTAATACCTTTCAATTCCAGCCTCTCTGATCGTCTGTACAAATAGATAGGAAACGTCAAACAAGAACAATAAAGCGGCACCTGGCGACTGGTTGGAGAAATGAAGAATCATGCACATAGTTTGCTGTAACAAGTATGCGTCTGTGTAAGTGCGTCTGTGTAATTCAAACGTTGAAAGTATGACACGTTGCACTTAGTCCCCAGGTGCCGCTGTATTGTTTACTATTTTCATGATCAGAAAGGCTGTTCAATTCGTTGCTTCACCAAAAAAACAAGAAAGTCGAAATTCCGTGATGATGAAAATATTTTGGCGAAAGCACTCAAAACACACTTTTACCGTTTTACGGCATATTCATTTTAGCTGCCAAATATGTGGCAAATAACAACACATTTAATGTGGGTTCCATATATCTGGAAACGTTTCGGAGATAGGTCGAGTGATCCGAATAGCCCGCCTTCCCCCTCCCTCGAAAATAAGCGAAAAAAAACAAATCGTTTAAAATGAAAACAATCCAATTCGAAGCTAGAGTCGGTTGTTTTGTGGATTGTTAAATTGGCGAAAGAAATTAAGTGCTAAGCAAACACATTTCATTCCTTGCTTTGTTTAGCTATAGGCAAAACAATGGCGAGACCCATGATAGATTCCATCGTTTCATGACACTGGACTCATTGGAGATTGACGTTGGGAATTTTTGATCATTGAAATTGACCCGATGAAGCATTTAATCTGAAATCTCAAACCGCTCGTCAAACTTCGGTAAGAAATAAAAACACCGTTTCCCGTTGCAACACTTCATTCTCGCAATTAGTGTGTGTGTGTGCGCTACAGCTAAAGTGCAAATTATATACCTATTATCCATATCGCGAACGAAATGACGGAACCACTTCGTGCCCCCCGATACACATGACTGCAATTTTGAGTGAGTTGTGAGCGCGAAAGCAAAAGAGAGACGCAAATATCGATTGCAAGCAATAACAATAAACATCGTTCGTAATCTTTATTTTCAGGTAACATGGCATTGACCCGTCAACTTGTTTCTCTCTTTTACACGCAATGTAGGGGAGAAAATGAGTTCGCGCGTGCACTCGCTTCAGCACGGGCATCATACGGAATGAAACGTGTGAAAAATTTTTTTTTTGGACAAGATGGAGAAAACGGTGCCTTGCGTATCAATACGCTTCATTTGTTCGCATAACGTGCACTGATCGATCACAAAGCATTTCACGTTCCGAAAATGAATTGCATATTTTCGGCGTGTTTATTATTCATAATTGGCGAATGGTGTGGTTCAACATCGAATCGAAACGCACACAAACACAACACAATTGTTTAATTGCATCCAATAACAATGAGTTATGTGATTTATGTGTTGGTAGTAGTGTTTCTGCGCTGTTTTTTTCTTTCCCTTCACAGCCAATGCACTCTTGAATGTCATCCTTTTGCTGGTTCATTATCGACAAAGAATGCGTTGAACTTTTCCCACATTGCGCGCGATGGCACATTAATTGGCAAAATGAGCGGGATAGCATGAAACCGTGGGAGAAGAAAGGGGAGAGAGGGCATTCGCAGCAAGCCACAAGAATCATTTATTGCAGCCAGTCGCTGCGACAAAATAATCCGGATTTTTCGCTAAATTCTTGATTGTCTGTTTGCTTTTGTGTCTATGCAAAATATGCCCGTCATTATTACAGTCGACAGGTACCAGTGGTATATATTGGCGTGGTATGGTTTTGTGTGATATGCTTTAATATCAATATTCGCACACGGTATCTCGTGCCGTTGTCGTTGCCATCGTCGGATGATGATTACTAGTTTTGCTGTGTGTCTTTTTTTTTTTTTCTCCATCGGTATGCCAACAACAACGAGCTCATCGGAACATCACGTCTCGCATAATTTGTTTGTCTTACGTTGACAATTTAGAATTTAATGTATTGTTGTTCGAATCGTTCGCACATTTTGACGACGGCCAAAGGTACTTCCATTCCAGCTTCATTAGTTTTCTTCGCTGTTTTCTCATTTCGTGCTTGAAACTGGTTTTCATTTTTATTCCCTCATCATTTTATTTATTTTGTCGTGTTCATACATACATACCTGAGACATGCGAAATATGAACAAAACGCCGTGCCGAGCCGCGTAACCGGAGAGGGATAAACGAGAATTCAAGTTAGATTTATGCAAAATACCTTCAAGTTCGGTGGAGATTTTCAATTAGAATCGCAACTTAAGCATCAGTAGCAATAAACATTTGATTGCGCATCATCAAAATAAATGAAATATTAAATGCGCATTGTTGCTAGTTTTTTTATTCGGTTGCACAAACAAACACACGCGCATATACAAATGAAATATCTCCATTTTTTGCGAGTGATTTTTCTATATCGTGACCGTGTTCAACACTCCGATTAACAAGCCAATGAAATTTAACATAAAATTATGCGATTTTTTTTTGTTTCGTTGTTGCTGTTGTTGTTCATTCCATATTTCCGGTTGATTGGCTTTGAAACAAAACAAAACAAAACGAAATTTTTCAACTTTGTACCGTTTTTTTTTTCTCTCACTCAGAGCTCGTGTCGAATCGATCGACGAAAAAACAATTTCGATTGATTTTTTTTGCCTGAAATAGAATAGTGTTTGGATTTTGATCGAAAAGAATAGAGAGAGAGAGAGAGAGAAAAAAAAAATATTGGAATTTTATTGACGTGAAAATAGATGCGAAAGCTTTTGACCGGTTTTCTTTATTTCAAAGATGTCTCGAAGACGCTTACCCGGAATTAAAACTTGGTCAATCGAATCAAATTCGAAATAATCTGATCGTAATGAAATACTTTTCGTTCATTGCAATAATAAAAAACAATGAAACAATGCAAATTCACCGAATTTATTTCAAATATACAAAATTGTGAATTCATAAACTAGGAAAATGAAGGAAATTGCCATGAAATTGTAGTTGCAACTAAATTTGCAAAGGAAATTGAAAAATCAAAATGCATAAACTAATTGTAATTAATGCGGTTTTTCGAATGGAATCGCAAAATAAATGTTAATACTTATACACGAAACGATGTAACTTCACGTCATTCGAAGACAATAGATTTTCGCATTCATGCTCGATGATCAAATCGAAATGATCTTTGATCACTTAAATGGTTGATATCCATCTTAATTATGATATAAACTTGTGAGTCAAATTCACATTTCCATGTTCGTTATCTAAAGTGGCCTAGTAGTGCTAATTGACTGTTGACGGCTACACACGCGCGCGCTACCGGGCAAAAGTGTTCAGTGATGTAAAACGGCCATAGTCTGATGCTTTTTTTCAATTTCAGAGCTATGCCCAAAAACCAAGGAGAAGCACAATTAGATCACCGAATTTTTGGCCGAAAAATCAAGGCGTTTGTTTAAATAATCTCGTCGAAAATGTAAATTATGTAAATTCATTTTATATTTAAAAAAAAAACTGTGTTTGTTGATCGAAGCGAAAATGATTAGAGAGTAAGGGAAATGTGTTAACTTTTGATTGAATGTGGGCGCTTGCCGGGGCCGAAAAAAAACAAAACAAGATGCCTTACATTCGTAAGGTTAACTTTTTTACACTCCCAAACATATACTTGTCTGTGCAGTGTACAGCGTACAGAGTATAGTTTACCACGTACCTACCCTACGACCCGTATAACGCTAGATTTCGCGATTTTCGGCGATGCAAGAGTCAAAAATTTCATTAATAAATTGACGAAGATTGACAGAAAAGGCGCAGAAGCAAACCGAGCCGATTGTAATGATTCGGGTCACAATGATTAACGGTAAAAGTGGTCGTGCTGTTTTTATTTCACACGTTTTTATTTTTCATTCCAAAAATTGATATGTAACGGTTCGGTTTTGGTCAATGTTACATAAAACTATTCGCATTACATTGTCATCATTTATTAATGGATTGAAATCATCTTCTGTTGTTGTTTCTCAGAGAGCCAAACTGAACGAAAAAAATAATGTTTCAGCGCATGATTAATAAAATCAGTGGCATAACTGACACCACACCACAGTGTATGTGATGGCATAGATTTGAATGTGAGAAATGTTCCCTTTGTTTCCGTAATCCATATAATTAGTTATGTCTTGACTTTATCAAAGAAACGGTTGGAATTTTTCTCATAAACGAAAAAAAAAGTAAACGGAATTTTTTTTTCAGCCTATTGATCGTCGGCCCGTTTCAGTTTCTATTTGAGTGATAAGAGATGATGATGAGTGTACTTACACGTAGACGTATGGTCCAAGTTCGTCGAGTATGGGTTTGGTGCCATTGTTGAGGAATTCATCGGCATTTGTTACGTTGTAGACGTAAATTTTCATCATTGGTTCGACGGGTGGCTTTGACCACCAGCCAAATGATTGAGCGCCCGGCCGTAAAGCTACCTGATGATCAATTACTAATTTAACTATTGCGGTAAATCCAAATGTGACTAGAATCCCACAGAGCAACAGACATAGTGCAAATGCTATCACGAACCCTGTGAACAGAACAAGAAACAAAACAGAACAATATCAAAATACCAAACGGAAATAAAGCAGAAAACGAACCATTTTATTATGATCTACTGAAGAAAGGAAAAAAAAAGACGTTCAATGATTTACGGCTAATTGGTTGAAATTGAATGAACAAAACCAAGTGGCCAGTGCTCACGAGTTTGGGCTATAGCCCAATTGGGGAAAATTGAAGTATACTTTATGTCTTGCAAACGAGACAACCGTTTGCATCGTACAGAAGAAAAAACAACACCGCAAACGTTTGCTTTCCCATTTAATTTCCGGTTGTCTTTGTAAAACCTTCAAGCAGTGTTGTTTCATGTTTCACCACTCTTCACATTGTACGTCCATTTAAATGTTTCATTTTAATTTCTCATCTTTCTTTGTCAGCGTGTGTACTTAACCTACAAAATGTGTTCCTATTGCACCGTTTGATTTGTCGTTTGTACTGTCTCAATTCCGAATGGCAACATGATTTATGATTGCATCGCTATGATGTGTGGTAGAGCGACGAAAGATGTGGAAAAAAGCGGCTCTTTCAAACATGATCGATCGGGCTTTGAATGTCTGCTTCAAATCAAACAACCGTTTAACACGAAAAATAATAGACGTAAACAAACAACCAATTGAAACAACATAAACCGTTGACATAAGCACAATGCAAAAGAAAAATAAGTTGATCACCGCGTCCCGGTGGTGTGTAGCAAATTGAGCTACGTGAAAACTGAAATCAGATTTTGGACGAAGCAAAAACAACAACACGTAGTTGATTCACTCTTTTTTGTTCATGCATTCCATTCATGAATTACACGATGAGAACCAACGGCAGCCGCTCCGAAACAATGACAGTGTGAGTGAATTGAACTGCACTAAATACAGTTGGCGACACGAGCGAAAATTAAAAAAAATACGAAAATGCCGTCTCTTGTTAAAAAGAAACTGGAGAAAAATAAACCACAGTGCGAAAAAAAATTATCCGCCGGTCCATGTGTGTGGTTTAATTAAATTGTAAACAATTAACAAGCCCATTGTAGTTAGCAAAGTGGCCTGTTTTTATTTCATATTTCATCAGTCATCGCCGAAAAATTTTCATTTTTCTGCGTTCTTGGGTCTCGTTTTTTGTTTTCTCTCTCTCTCTCTCCTCACAAAAACGCTTTTTTCTCGTTTGTTTGTTTTTCATTCACATTTCTCTCGCTCAATAATCTCTTAATTTCAGATAGCCGAGATTGAGCGAGCGAGAGAGAGAAAAACATTGAGAGAGTGAAAATGAATTTTAAAAAAAAAAAGTCAAAGTATGAAACAAAATGTATTTGTCCACGAAATGTTACTGTGATTTCAGCTCAAATGAAAGTGAATAGCAAACGCATATGGGATGCGTGAGTGAGGCTAGTGAGTGTCAGCGGAACACCACGTGCACTGCAATTAGCCACACGTCCAATAACAATCACTCGTTGTTTTTTTTTCTTCGTTGCCTTTTAATCAAAATCACACATCGACCGCTAAAGTGTACTCAAAAATGGGTACCTTTCTGAGAAAAACGGAAAGCGCAAAAAATGAAAAGAATTCTTTTCAATTGTTTTCGCTCGCAAGCTTTGAACAGATACGTCGAGTGCGGAATCGTGAGTTGCGATTCTGATTGTTTGTGTTTTGCTGAGATGCAGCTGGGCGTGAGTGAGAGCTCGCGCACGGCCGCTCACTCGCTCTCTCACTGTACAATGTAATGTGTAATAATTCGGCAACAAGCTATAAATAATTACATGTAATTTTGTTCACTTTTGAATATATATATATATATGTGCTTGGGCCAGTGTCTAATTCCAATGTGTATGACTAACATGTTCAATTATGTAAGTAATTTGTGGTGTTGCGTATGCGCCGCATTTTTCTGCTGCTATTGCTCTTGCTGTAGCTGGCAAACCCAAATCCACCGAGAACAAAGTGGAAAATGATGATGAGGTGCCGACTTAACACAACATGACAATTGCATGTCGTGAGATGTGTGACGATCTCCCGGCTGACGTGTGCCGATGTGACAATATCTGAGACTTGCGTGACGCGGCCACAAAAGATGTGTATGTTTTTGCGCAAAATGAAAAAAGAAGAGAAGAAAAAAAAAATGGAAAAAATGAACGAACTTGCCTATTGTGTCAGCAGCACACACTTATCATCATTTGCTCGATGGGTGTGTATGTGCGTATTTATTTCGTTGGGTTATGAATATGAATCTTAATATGAATATGATCATAGCTATTATGCGTTTATTGCTCATATCTCACTATTGCTCAGCACTCACGCGCGTTAAAATCAAAGAAAACATTTAAGAAATTCACACGTGTGCCGACAGAGCGCACCGTGTTGGATTTGGATTTTCATCCAAGTGCTTGAATTATTATCGGTGGTAAACGATCTTTGGGATGAATGTTACGAGCGATCGTTGTCAGATGATTAGAGCGGTTTTTTTTGTTTCTTTTCAACGCAACGTGTGTCTGACATTGAAGAACCTCCGTTCTTCTTTTGACCGTTTTCAATTCGAAATTACATCAAGTAAATTTATTTGTGAACAATAAATCACTTTGCGCTCATTACAAGCAAGTGTTTCGATGAGCGGGCGGTCGGTTGGTCAGTTGTACGACCGATTGATCTTCAGTACGCAGTAGAAAACCAAACAAAAAAATTCGATCAACGAAACAGCGGAAAAAGAAAGAAAAAAATAACGTTTCAACTATTTACACGCCACGACTAAAAGCTATATGTATAAGAAACGCAATTCTCCTGACTCATGCCAACTTGTCGATTCGGCCGTTTTTTTTTCCATCGTTCGTTGGTTTTTTGGCCGAAAGTCCAACATGCATGCACTGGACAAGGTCTTTTTCTCACTTTTCACAATCATTTCCGCACAGCATCAATTAATTTACCAGAAAAATGGCCACTTTGAACTGCAGCACACACCATTAACCATGTTCTGATCATGTAGCGCTTTTTTTTTCTCCAACGTTAATTCGTGTCCACGTGAGAAAATGAAACGACACGACCGACAAAAAAAAATGTGCTAATTAGATATTATAAATTTAAAAAAAATATATTTGAAAAAAGAGTTGAAAGTTAACAAGAGCGAAAATCTAATTATGTCCAACTGAAAAGCCGTATAATTAGCATGGTGTTGGTAATTTTATTTGGTCTGTGTCTCTAGAGAATTTCAAATTGATTCAGTTTCTATTAAAATTGAATAATTTTTTTTTGTCGTTTCTTTCTGTGTTTCAAACGACGTGCAATACGAAAGGAAAAAGTGTAAACGTTGGTGCGTTTATCTCTCTTGTAATTTGAACTCCATTCTCTTTGAGGTTCAGCTAGCTAATTAATGTAATTTTCTTACAAAAATTCCGCCTTCGAAACGATTTGTAGAATTAGACGAACGAACGAACAAAAAAAAACACATTGAATAGATAACTGAAAACTTGTTTTGCTATCTATTGCTTCGATATAGAACTTCGACAATCAGGTGTGGTTGTGTGTGTACTTTGGTGGAAAAAAGAATGCCTCCGAGTGTATCGAAAACAACAACACGAAAAATTCCATGCAGAAGAACCGCCGTATCAGCGGCAGTGGAAAGATTTCAACAGAAAGCATCGACAACAAACAGGCCACGACGACGACGACGATGGCGAAGATGACGATGAGATCGCTTTTATTATTATCGTTCAAGAACATGTTCATAAATGATGGTGTGAGTTTGTTGAACTTTGGTTCGGTTGTTGCCGTGAAAAGTTATGCGCGCGCGCATCGTGTCTGAGTGCATTGTGGCCAATGTACGCGCTTGCAATGGTGTGTTTGCTGAGAAGGAAGCAAAAGGTGTTCGTTTTGGCATTTCAACAATAACAACAACAACAACAAAAAATAGCCATTGAAAATTGCATACCATCGAATTAAATAACCGATGGCATTTTCATTGCCGTAAGCATGAACAGATTAAAATGATCTTCTTTATCCCAGGCACGTTCAATTGCAGAAGTAGCCGAAGAAGAAGAAAAAGAAGCGGTAAAAGAATGATGATAAAAAAGAACGACCGCAGCAGGAAACTTTTATTCTATGCAAAATTATATCTATTCAAATAGTTGTGATCCACACATAAATTAGTCGTAGTTGAAATTCCAATCGGTTATGCGATGACCCACCCATAATAATTATAGACAAAAGTCAATGGAATACGTGAATTTTTCATCGATGTTTATTCATTTTGGCAACCCATAATTCTGAAGCTTTTTTGCTTCTGCGCTTTTTTCTCCGCATTCAATCCTCTTGACTTTTGTTTCCGTCTGAAACGCACCGTCTCTATAACAAATTGTACAATTTTTTGTGTACACAGCCTATTCAAACAGGTCGCTAGGACAAGATTCTCTCGAATATGTTTACATCGTGACTGGACACAATTGAACTGCTTAAATTGTTGTTTAATATTGGGTATTTGATTGTTTTTGAGACGAAAAAATCAACAACAACACAACAACATATTAGCAAAATAGGTGCTATAGAATCATGATTGGACAGAATACTTAATGCTTGATTGATGACGCTACGCGCTGGCCCGCGAAACTATTTCCTACTACTTCAGCATATTCAATGTGACCAGCGCAATTATATGTATATTCTAAACACCGATTTTTAAATGATGTGTTTATTTCCCGCTGATTTACTTCGCGATGATCGTCATTCATTCACTTCTGATTTATTTATAATATTTGCATTTTTATATGTGGATTTTCCAGCCAGCTTTGTAATTTTAACCTTTCTCATAACGTTCAACGCTCTTTTTTTTCGTCTCTGTGGTATCTTTTGTCTATTCGACTTCTTCGTTTTTTTTTTTCGTTGATTTCTGTTTGGTCGCGATCGTGTGTGTTTTGATTCTGTTGAACCGGTTAAATGCGCCTATTCGGATTCCAAAGTGTGAATGTGTTTTTTCTTCTTCTGTTGTTATCATCGCAGAATAAAATTTATACTGAGAACAAAAAATTAGGCAACAGGTTTTTCTCGTCATATCAACGAGTTGGCACGTACGACATCTTTTTCTGTCTTGCTGTACCTAACTGGACACCTCTCAAGACAAACTAGATGCGCCATTGAAATTGATGATTCTTCGATTGAGACACAAATAGATTCGATCAATGTGTCATCGATTTGAAGTGGCTGACACGTGGACTTGACTTAACCTAGAAACCAATCATCTTCTATTCAGCGAAGCCACAGCCATTTTTTTTTCTCCAAACCACAGACAAATATATCCGAACATAAAAAAAAAATCTGATTCGGAAAAAATAAATCGAAGAATTTGTTAATTCAAAAATTGTTGATGTTAATTACAAAATGATCATGAAACGAAAGAAAACAACACACATTCCCAGTAAATTTATGAGACATTTGATTTTTAACCGTGTTTAGTGCAGTCCCAATGAAACAAACAAAAAATGTTAATTATTACGTGAATCAATCAGGTTATGACTGGCTATTGTTTTGGGCCAAAAGTTAAACGGTGATTTATTGCCAGCGCATTTTTAATTGCACGTCTCGACCAGTCATTTACAAATTGGTTTTCTTGAAACAAACTCAAACACAAGAAAAATGGGTTTTCTTGAATGAAATTTCATGCGATATTGGATAAATGGCGCCTTTTGTACTCTTCAAGGTTGGAAAAGCATGATCTTTTATGCCGTCAAAGCCTTGGGAATATAGCAATGAATTTTCGCTGCATCACCTGAAACACTTGTTTATCGATTTATTGGATAGTAAAAACAAAACAAAAAACAGTAACTACGGCAGCAGAAGAAGAAAAAAGCATTTCAACGTCTGTTAGTCCAATCTCTAATATGAACAAGAAGAAAAATTAAAACGGTGTGTTATTTTAACATGTGGCTGGAACCTTGAGGTGATTAAGTGCAATAGCACCGTTGCATTGCCTTCAATGAAAATGAAATTTTGTGTGAAATGCCGAATGTGCATGCCGATGACATCGACCATAACACAACACACACACACAATGAATTATCAGGGCTTTTCTCTCTCAGCCAAGCGTGACACAAATGAAGGGCCGTAAATCTTAATCAGTTTATTGGTCTCCATCAAATTCATCTGTCTATTATTGTCATATTTATCGCTTCAATGCAATTTGTAATTCCTTTGGAATTACGTAAATTTGAAATTTGCGCAGATTCCTTTCGATTATATTTGTTGTACATATTATGGTTCGAATCGATATCGCAAGCTTGACAAAGCAAGAAAGACAGAAAAAGCCCGTAGAGAGAGAGAAAGACAGACAGAGAGAGAGAGAGAGAGAGAAAAAAAACCTTGACAATTCACATGTATTAGAAAGTATACCAAAATTTATCGTAAAATCGTATAAATAATGTCTAATGAGGCCCATATTTGAATGTGTATATATGACAAAAAAACAGACATCGCATTTTGGTAGTTTGCTTGCGTTAACGTGATTTCTACTCTCTGCTTTCCTTCTTTATTCCCATTTTTCTTTCTCTATGGCCCTCTCTCACTCTCACTCTCTCCCTCTCTTCACCTAATGATTTTCATCATGTGTTTATTTTTCCCAACAAAAAATGCAATAAAATGAACGTGAAGCAAAAGAGAGAAAACGAATCGTATCATTCACTTTGGCCCATTCAAGTGAAAGAGAGAATTATTAATGGCAAAATGTTGAAAATTTACTCAAATCAAATTACAATGTTGCTCGCTCTCTGTTCACTCACAGTACAAGAGAATTTTTGTTTCTCTCTTGGACCGGTAAATAATGTGCAAACTCATCATACACACACACACACTGAACATTATTATTTGCCAATTTATAATAAATCGAAGAAGAAAGACGAAAAAACTACACGGTCACAAACAACCGAAAAAAAAGAGAGCGAAGACGAAGACGTGAATTTACACATCACCAAAGTGAATATGTTGAGCCATTCACACAGAAGAATAACACACAACGACGTTGACATTGTCATTCATGTGAAAATGAAACTTTTCTCAGCCACACTCAATTGGTCAATTCACTTACAAAGGTGCCCATTTTTATGGTTATTATTTGATTTGCTTTGTGTGCGATCAAAAAATAATGATAAATTTTGTGTTCGTTGTTTTGCCTGTTGTTTCGTCTTCTTCTTTTTGTTTGAAGCTTGTCTACGAGTTGTTGCTCGCCTTTTATTCGGTTGAAATGTTGACGGTTCGTCAGATTTTCCATTGATACAGATACACACGAACACAACACAGCACCAAATTGTGTTGTCATTGTTTTTCAGTAGATTTATGGCCATTGGCCACCATTTTTCCTCACCGCGTTGTGTCCGTCGTCAAAGATATTCGATAAACGAATCATCTCTTTTATTTAGCAATAAATTCGTGCATTGTTTATCAGAATGACCAAATAACAGAAAACAAAAGAGACTAAAAAAACACTCTCGATTTTCCCATCTACGCCGTAGACACAAATAAAAAAATTGGCATGTGCCCGAATTGCAAAGCAAACCGAAATGATTGCCGAAATTATTTTTTAATTCAATTTTGCACGAGCACGTGTGAATGAGTGTCCCGCCAAGCAAATGTTATCGCAAATTTCCAACGAAAGACAAAAAACGTAAAAAAGCTCCCATTGTTGTTGCTGTTGTTGTTTTTCGATCGGTATCAGTTTTCGGCCACATAATATTTGTTACAAATATTATTTTAGCACCATCCAAAATGGAAGTGTGGCCACAAAACCACAAATTAAGCCCATATGATATGAAGCAAATAGTCGAAAAACCGAAAAATCAAGAATTTAATTCAATGTTTATTGTGAAATTCCAATTCGGCTTTACTTTATTTATTTATCAACAGCAGCAGCACCAGCACCACTACCACCACATAAACACATTAAATTGAAATCAATTTCACTTGCAAGAACTCGCCAAGTGAGCAAAGAAAATACAGCAGCAACAATAAACGCCGTACGCAACCAACAAAAAAAAAAAAAAAAACAAAACAAAAAAGAAATTTTTTACACCTCAGACTCGCACATTAGCTGCTTGGTCGGTTGATTTGTGTTTATGTGCGGCTTTCAACCTAATTGCTCGTATAAAATAGTTGCGAATTTTTAAATCAAATATATCTCAAAATACTTACACCACTTTCGCAAAAAGGCACTAGATAATTTAGCGCATAATTTATTTCTGTTTCCGTGCATTTTTGTGTGTGTGTTTTTGTTATGTCTTAAACCTTTTTTTTTCTCAAATTCAGTTATAAACTTTTTTAATCTTTTTTGTTTGCTTCTTCTTCTTCTTCTTAAATCGATGCGTTTCAAAATGTCTTTTCGATGCGCCTATTCACACAGTTCTCGCTTCTGAAATTGAATTACACCCGAAATAAGTGAACAACGAAATGGAAAAAAAAAATCGAAACAACGATCAATTTCACTGCACTTCACACTTCAAACGAAAAATAAAATAAAATCACTAGACACGTTCACTCGCTCGCGTTTCTACGGTTCGGCAAGTGAATTAGAAAATTGCTTTCGATTTATTGTTTGTCTTCCCGTTCGTGCACAAAACATTCACTCAAATATAGAAAAAAAAAATCCAACTTAATTTTTCTTCGCGCCTACAATTGACACAATTCTTTGATTTCAAAATTTTGGCTCTCTTATCAGTTCGTCACTGGTTTTGTTTTGAGACTAGTTAAAAAGAAACAGAAATCATTTGTTCAAACTACACCAAGTAATTATGGCAAATGGAATTGTTTCGAGTAAATATTTGAAGAGAGAGAGAGAGAGAAAACAAGAACGATGACAATCGGCAAAATGTTATGTTCAAGCAATCGCGCCGTTCATCTCTTGATGAATGAATATGTTTTTCGTACGTTTGCGGTGTGTGACGATCAAGAGTCAATAGAACGATTTGCGCGGTCGAGAATTGAACTGGCCAAGCATTGCGATTGGGAAACAAGGAAGGGGAACGGCATCAACGGCGGCGACGACGATCATCACAGCGACAACCAGTCGTCATCATTTTCGTCATCGGCGGTGGCGACGGCAGTGGCAACGAACAAGACGAAGTAAACAATCCCATCGATCTGTTGTACTGTTACACTGTTGTTTAATCAACAATATGCTCATTCCATGTAATCACACTAACACTTACAATTGGTGGGCCATCGCTGTTAGTTTGTGAATGAACTGATGTAACCGAATGGAATGCACGATTGCAGTTCGATTAGTTCGACTATAACCTTATCACAATAAGCAATGCAATCAATTGAAACAGTTGTGGCTGCTTTGAACATTCCATTTCTATTGATTTGACTTTCATTGATTTATGATGGGCAAATCATTGTTGGCGTTTGTTATTTTCTTTGGATTTGCTTTTCAAACGCAGCCCGATCATTTACACATACAATTTGTTCAATGTATCGAATTGGTTTCAAGAGCGTCGAATCGATAGAGAAGAAGATTTATGGCGGCGAGAGTGATCTACGATGTATGAAAATCAAATGTTATACAATTCAAGGCATTGATCAATTGGAGTTTGACCAAACTTTATCACTTTGGAGTCCGCTGCAAAATTTCAGGATATATCTTCTGAGTAAATTCTATCGAAACACATAAAAAAACGAATAAAATACATCAAACAAAGCAGACACACACAAAAAAATTGTTATCAAAATCGTCACCCCATTCTCATGGCTAAGCGATTCGAACTGGTTCCAAATCTCTCAAAGACTCGTCTTGGGAGATGTTTGCTGGAATTTTTTTCTTTCAGCGAAATTAAGGAAATGTCAAAAGAAGATGATCATATGTTTTCCAGTTTATTATGACGGCAACGATGAAGAGAAAACCCGATTGTACTAGGAAAACTTTTCCTGGAAAAGTGATAAGAATAAATGTGGAAGCTTGCTAAGTCACATTTTCAACATGAACCAAATGAATAGCATTAGAAAAAAGGAAGAGGAATGTGGGTCGAGCAAAGTGGTTTGAATAGACCAGTTTAACAAACACATTGTTCGGCTTTAACATCGCGAATTGGAAAGGAAGCTGAATGCACGCGTGTGTGTGTGTGTGTGAGCGTTTGCTAGCTTGTTCTCAAAACTTGTAACCGCTCATGAAAATCCAGTAGCACAACTAAAAATGGTAAAAACCAGATTTCGACGGAAGACAAATAAATCCAGCGCAACAATGTTTTTTTTTCTATTCCCTTCAATATCGGTAGCCCGTTCATTCGACATTCGGTTATCGTTTGGATAAATCGTTATCTTTTGGTGCGCCGGTTAACTCAGCTCGTTTATCACTGACAGACAGGAGGCAATTGTCATTTTCCCGTTTCGTCATTTTCGTCACATTCACTCACTCAAAATCAATGAGCAGTATTAAGTAATCGAAACGGAGGAAAAATACAAAGCTCAAGTGGAATTAAGAATGAAATGGCCTGCCAAACGAAAATGGAACACGCACATTCCGCATCGCAACTGCAAAATCAAAATCACATATATAAATTCAAATCGAATTTAGTGCATGATTGCGTAAAATGTGTGTGTGTGTGTGTGTGCATGAGCGCGCGCGGTTCAGTGAAACGAGTTTAAAAGCGTCTTTAAGAAAACCTTGATTGTTTCGCTCAGAATGAGAATGAACCATAAGCAATGGATGCGTGTGTATATATGCACATGTGTGTTGAATATGATTTTTCGTTCAACACAATTCAGTACTAAATAGTTGTAATGGCCCAATTTTAGCCGGTTTAGCAATTAAAGTATTTACAACGGCACAAAAACACTAACCAAAACAGAGCAAGTGAATGAACAAAACGAAAAAAGTTGGCAGTAGCCAAACAACAGCAACAACAACAGCAGAAGCAGAAACAGCAGCAGCAGCAGCATTGCACATACATAATTGTAACGATTTTGAATATTCTGTGAGTACAAATTATGCAAATGCGGGTAAGTGGCGGTGAATCGGATTTGATCGATGCGTAGTGCTGTGTGTTTGAATCGCCAGATCGATTTTTTGATTGTGCAAAATTGTTCATCGATTTCGAAGATGATTTAAATTCGAAAACGAAAAGAGAAAAAAGCCGCACACACAAAATTACACTCGCTAGAAACGCAACGTATTGTTTGTTTGTGAGCGTGCGCGCTCGTGTGCACGAGAGAAAATTCTCATTAAACTGCCAATGCTTTTTTATGCAATATCTTTGAAATAAAACCTAATGAAATGAATGTTAATTGTTATGATGTTTCTACAGTTTACGTCAATCGAAATGAGTAACAAGGTCATGAATGCTGCTAATCACTTCACACCACTCTGCCTAAATAAACTTTGCATTTTTTTTTTTTTTGCAATTTAATTCGTAATTTTTCTTGAAACGAGTTTTCTCGTTGATGCACAAAATACTGTTTGTGTGTTTATTCTTCGTTTAAAGAAATTTTTTCCATCGTTGATTTGTCAAAGAAAAGGGTGTCAGAGGTGACAACCGTCAAATTGCTTCAAACTTAGAACGCAATAATGGCATTGCCACTATTATTACGAACGTTTTTTTTTCAGTTGTATCTATCTCTGTCGTATTTATTGGCTATGTAAAAATAGCCACAGGTTAATTAAGTTTTCACTCAGCGGTCGACCTTTGTATCATACACCAATAAAATCGTTCATAATTCTCGACGAAAAAAAAAATGATTATTTGCAAGCCGCCGCCGTCATCGTTTTGGCGCGCGTTCGTGCACATTCCACATTTACATTTATCGATAAGAAAACTCGCTGAAAAAAAAATGATGAAGCGAAAATAGTAATTGAGTGCCGTGTATCTCAAGCCGGTCATCAGTTGGATCGAAGCAATAGATAACAGATAATAAGTGCATGTTGTGTGTCTTGACTCGATTGCAATAAATTTGCATCAAAATTGTATTGAATGCATTGACATTAATCTCAATCTTCAAACGAAAACAACATCGACCAACAGAAAAAAAATTGGAATGAAAAAAAAAACGCTTCAAAGTAAAAACGAATCTGCTCCAAAGTCTCTCTGACGAAAGAAAGAATGAAAAAAAAATGCAAGCAACCAGCGCTCGGCCAGCTTGCTGGTTGGCCATTTTACTTTTCAAAACGCATTCAATCGAATTTTTAGCGCAATTCGTCATTAATTATGGCATTTAGCAATGATAATATAGTAATAGAAGGTAAAAACCGCACGCATCAAATGCTTGTTTTCTCTTTTCATGCCCACGAATGTCAGTGCGCAACAATAGCAACAACAACAAAAAAAAAACACCAACTGAAACGAAAATCGCACTTTTTTCTGAAATCGACGCTGAAAAATCATCATCGTTTCAGAGAGTGCAAATCCAAATCGGCAATTATTTGTTTTCATTTCTCTTGATGGCGCGCACGCACACACACGTGCTGCATTACGGATTCCTTTCAATTGAACGAAAATGGGATAAATAAATTCGTGGCATCATTTCAAATAAATTGTGTTGTGCCATGTACACACCACTATCATAGCCATCACCACCACCATCACATACATATGTGGATTTTATTTATCCATGTTTTTTTTTCTCCTTCGTTCGATCACCAATTTGATTGCAATGGAAAATGCAGCCTATGCGCATCATTAAGTTATCAGTATAACGCCTATGAAATGTGAAACAGCGCAAAAATACGAAATTATTGTGTGTTTGCGCTTGTTGTTGTTGTTTTTTATGTTCGCATTGAAATCGGATCGCCAACCGATCAGAAAATTTTATTTTTTTTCTGTCTGTGGTTTGACTGATGGTTTTGCTTTTCGCTATTAAAAAAATTATTATTATGTATCGAATAGTGATAATTCGATGAAAAAAAAGACAAAGGCTGCGTGTCGGCGGCAGTGGAAAATTGAGTTAAGGAAGCTTTTGGAGCGAAATGTGAGCTGTTTATGCCAAACTATCGAGATTGTTGATCGAAATGTCGGAATAATTTATTGGCGCACATTAAAAAGACAAAGGCGGTTTTAAGGAATTATTCGTGCGAGATATTTCCATATCGAAATGCGGCTTATGGCCGAAATTTTTTGAACGCTAAATACTCGTTTAGCTTGAATATTTTCCTTTGTCTTCGGTGTTTTGGATCTCATGTTTTGTCAATCGTTTTTTGTTTTCTTATTTCGTTGTTCGTGTCGTTATCTCTTGAAAATGTGAACAAAAAAGAACTTGAGCGAATAATGAGATGGAAAATTCAAGTTTGAAACTGAACTGGTTATTACGCGTCGCGTCGAATAATGTTAATGCATAAATGTTTTGCGATTGCGGTGCGGAGGAATAAGAAGAAGCCGACGACGACGACGAAAAAGAGCCGTTGTATGACATTCTGAACCGCATTTCTTCTTCATATGCAACACGAATCAAACCATATGGAGAAAGATGTGGCAGAAGCAACAACGGCACCGACAACAACACCGCAGCAATGAAAAGATGAAAAAAAAATCAACGGCGTCGGATTGTGTGCATTGTCCATTTCATCGAATCTGGGTTAATGGAGCATTATTCTCGGTCTAACGAAATATGATGTGTGTGTGTGTGTGTATGTTTGTTGCTGTTGCTGTTTTTTGTGTATGTTTTACAATCACGACTACAACTGCATATGTGCTCAGTAAGTGCACTGCACAATCGTAATTTTCTTGTTTATACATATTGCTGTTCGTTGCTGTTGTTGTTTCGATTTGGCACTGGCACACGAATCTCATCGACGGCCAGCGCTCTGCACACACGAATCACCAACAACAAAAAAATGATTCGAAAGAAAAACAATGCCTTGGCGAAGAAGGAAAAAAGCAGCGCACAACAAATAATAAACAAATGTGCAGATGAAGAAAAGAGTTTTGTTGTTATGGTTAAATCTGTGTGTGTTTTTTCCACTCATTTGGCAACTCATCTCTCCTATCGTGTTGTTTTTTTCTCTTTTTTCATTTAATTCGGCTGGTTTTTTATCATTCAAAGATGAAGCGAATAAAAAACACTTTGCTAAATTCAGTATTGGGAGAAGTAAAAAAAAAGATATGGTAGTAAATGGAAACGAATATTTGAAAAGAAAAAAAAATCAGCGGCAGTAACAAGATGGCAGCTCACGTAAGGGGGAAAAATCCATCTGAAGACATAATAATACGCATGGTGAGGCATTTGAAGTAAGAGCAACAGCGAAAAACAGCAACAACAACATAAACCTGTTGCTATTGTACACACCATATAATGTAGTCATAAATGGACATTTGATTGAGCTTGCTGCAATGATTTAAACATGATTTTTACTTTGATCGTGCAGCGAGAACGGAATTTTTTGTGTGTGCTCGCTCTTTGCTTGAAATCCCCAAAAATCGAAATCAACATCGAAAAACTCGTAAATCTCCACATTGATTCAATGCGGTAATTACAATCATATCGAGCCAAAATAAATCGTTTGATTGCGCGCGCAATGGAATTTGGATGGCAAACAAGTGGACGGCCGTTTTTTTCTTTCTTTCGGGAATTCGGTTTACTTATGAAAAACAACAACAAAATAGCTCCGAAGAAAAAAGAAACAAAACTTTTTTGTCTCGATTCAATATTTATCTACGCACAGGTGGACGAGCGTAAGCATGCTCGCATACGCATTACTGTTGATGAATAATCGAAAATGATTCAAGTGTGCGCGCGCGCGAGCGCTTAATGAGCAAAAATAATTGCGGATATTAAAACGGTGTGTTTAAAATAGCCACAGAAAATATTGTGTGTTTTTTTCAGTGTGTTTTTGAGTATACAGACTCAAATGAGAGTGCTCATGTTCAAACACACAGGTAAATTCCACTCACATTCGATCGAATGGAAGCAATCATCGGAACAATCGTTGCATACCAAATCACAAAAACTCTCTGCCGTCCCCAAAAACAACACCAAAAATGAGTATTGAAATTAAAGGGAACCATTGTTATCATACGCTCAATTTGATACATTCCACCAGCGTAGTGTGTGAGTGTGTGATGCATGGAATTTTGGTCGGGTAATCCATTGCCGTTTGTTCGTTCTTCTTATTTATTCTATTCGCAGAAATATTTACATTCGCATTTATTTCGTTTTGTTGCAAACCGTGCAATAAATTAACGCTAATGAATCATTTTGCATTGCAGGTCTCGTACTCACCACGGCGCAATTACCTTTCGCGTTATAATTTTCTATTTATTTTTCTTACATTGCTCTCCAGTCAGTTAGAAATAGATATCAACATGTGTGTTCAGTCTCTTTCTCTCTCTCTCTTCCTCTCTCCTGAGAGAGTGTTGTATGCACAAGCACACTGTGGAAATGTGCACACAAATGGGCAATAAAACACCGTGCTCTGCACTGGAAGTGT